GGAGTTTTTGACGAAGGCGGCAGCTCATCACCAACTACTATCTTGGATTTGGAGATGGTGCGGCTTTTGCTATTAGAAGACCTGATTGTGTAACCCTGGATGAGGGCAGCAATCTTGGCTTGGTATTGGGAAGTTATGAACAAATAGGATCGATTGGAATCGCAACCAAGCCGTCGTTAGATGGCAAAACCGGAGTTAATGGAACGTCTCTCATCTTGCCAACCAAGGAATTCACGAATCATTTTACGAATAAAGAATCGATTTCAATTTCAATTCCACAAGAAGTTTGTTTCAATTCCTATGGATATTTTAGCAATATGGAAAGCAATTCTGATGTGATCACGTTGGCAACATTCAAGGGTCTCGTTAATGCAGCAATAATCAAATGTAACATAGGGACCGGAAACGTTATCCTGTGTGGGATTGACCCATTCTCATCAACCGCAGATAGTCGAGAAACAGTGGGACAAGATAATGAACATGCGATGCGAAAGCAATTCATTCGATCCCTATTAACGATATTGGGGATAATGTCAACAGATATATTAATTCCCAACCTATCCAAAGAGATATATTTGGTAGCTTTGAGACCTGCGATAAAAGATCTTTTGTTACACAACATTAAGAAGTTGGAAGAATCTGATGGGATGATCAAGGCCGGACACAATTCCTTCCGCGCAGTCGAATCAAGTAGTTATGAATATAAAGAAGATTGCGTTAATGACCCAGATCCTCAAGCACTCAAGATAGTAGTTGGTGATGAGCTGCCGCCTTCGTCAAAAACTCCGTGCTTTAACTTTGAAAGGTATTTCCATGAACTGAGTAACGCAAGAAGTTCCACGGACACCTTTAAATTTCATAATTTCGAGTTTGGATCTTTGGTGTTATACGGAGAGGTTTTGGAAAGTACTCAAGCTTTGCTCGAAAAGTAAGATTCATGATGAATCAATCCTCAATTCTGTTGGGCTTTGCTTCTTGTTAAACATACACAACGCGCGCGCTTGCCTTACAGGAATATCAAGTTCACGCAACAATTACCAGGCGGATTCGTCACACTGGCCACTCAACAAACTCAGGGATACGGTCGTGGTGGAAACACGTGGATATCACCTCCAGGGTGCTTGCAATTTTCTTTTGTCATGAGACATTCGGTCAATAATCAATCTGCCTCGGTTGTATTTATACAATACCTCTTATCATTATCTGTGGTAGAAGCCGTGAGGACCAAACCTGGTTACGAGGTAATCAATAATTTAATTACCGGGGACGAAGCTTTGATGATTCATAATGACCACAATCTCGTTCCGTTTATATCACCAATAGGATGTACCATTGAGGCTTAAATGGCCAAACGATATCTATGCCGAAATATTCAACGATCCTTCCGCATCACCAGAACTCGTTAAGATTGGCGGTGTCCTCGTGAAGTCCGAATTCTTCAAGAACGAATTTCTATTGATTTCGGGTAATGCGATATCCTGCATATTCTTGAGTTGCAGCTTCTCTTTCTAAGTTAACTTTTTTGTAGGTTGTGGTGTGAACTTGAGCAATGCCGCGCCGACGACGTCGATAAATCAAATAATAGATAAGTACAACGAATCTCACCATACCTCAAGGCAATTAAAACCTTTTTCACAGGAAGAGTTATTGGCGAGAATCTTGGTTAAATTCGAGCTGTTTTACACGGAGTTTTGTGGGAACGGAAGTGGTTATGAATCATTCTTGGATGTTTATTATGAGAGATGGTTGCATAGGTTTGTGTTAATCGAATCTTTCTTACTTATTCTTTTTGAAGAAACCTTTTTTTTTTTTTTTTTTTTGAATATATGAATTACGTTAAAAAATATTCTTTTTGCTTATTCTCGAAATTTATGCAGTGATCAAGTTGTAACTTTAGAGAATCATGAAAACCGTAGGGCACGGATCATTGGTATAGACAATTTTGGGTTTCTGAGAGCTTTCATATTGGACTCGAACGAGGTGGTTACGTTGCAGCCGGATGGAAATCGTTTTGACATAATGAAAGGCATGATCAGTACGAAGTTGAAATGAGAACTGGTAGTATACAGGATTATTATTAAATTGATAAGGGGGTAATTTAACGTCAAGGATTTTTACGCTTTTGTTTAATTCCAACTGATATGGTACATATAATTCAACAACAGCCTAAATAACTATGTATTATGCTGTATACTGTATAAGCATGTGCGTATTTGTATATTAATGTGTTCTAATAAAAATCGGTCAGCAGTATATTCATCATTTTGTATTAAACAACTTTGAATTTTAATAGATCTTATACAACAGGTTAATTCAAATTTTAAATACAATATATATATGTTGAATTTAACAAAAAATAATTTGATTGTGGATAATTTATTTGATAATCTTTTTCTTTGACAAGGATGGATATAGTGAAACATTTTTTTTGATATCATGATAGTGACGGAAAATAACAATTTCAATTTTGAATAATATCTAATTAATTTTAAATTTCATCAATAAGCGAACGAATTATTCTTTTTTGTTATCAAACAGGAGAGTGTTGCTTTTAAAAAGAGTTACTTTACAACATACATATTGAATCATGAATTTAATAAAATATTTTGCATTTTACAATGAGTACAATTTAGCGTGATCCAGAGTTGAAACAAGAATACTTATTTATCAATCATTTACAATGTATACTTTGTTGAATATAATCAAGATAAAATGTTTTTTTAACATAGAAGATTTGATTTGCATATTTTTTTGAAGGTGAGAAGCGAAAGAAAAAAAATTAAAAACTTCGATTGAAAATTTGGATTCGGCTTATAAAACAACTCACCGGTCATGTGTCGACAAAATGCCGTAATAATTACGTGCGTGCACGGTCCATATGATTAGGTTTCGTCAAAGGTCATGAGTGGTCGATAGGCTTGGAGCTTTTCTACGAATAGTATGGATTTTTTTCATCAAACAATTATTAGGCATTTTTATATAGCCTTTGAAATTCATCTTGCTTGAGGATGCAACATTAAAAGATGTTATTAAACATTATTTAAATTATACAGTACGCAATTAAAAAGGTTTAATCAATTGGATTTTCGTCATTATTAAAGATGCAATAGAGTATTACTTATTTTAATCAAATCTTATTATAATTTTAATATTGTAATTGTATATTAATTATATAGATTCAAATGATTTTTATCGTATACCGATTGCAAATAAAATTATTCATTGGGCATTTTCGATCCAAGGTTTTCTTGCAATATTTGAGATAGATATCACAAAACATTAACAAAATAAATATACATTATAAATAAGATCATAGCTAAACCAAAAATGACACGGGTAATAATATAAAGAATTTTTAATTTTTTTGTAACTTTGATACATTATTTCTGCTAAACCCCAACAAAATTTTTGTATGTTGAATTTCTAGAAATAAGCGCTACTTTAGTTTGAAGTATGTGCACTAATTCCCTTCGCAATTTTTCATAATTCGTTATGGTCCTCGTAAATATCTTTAATAGTGGAACGAGGCACTCTTTTTGACCGAGTCCCCTTATCATTCTGTACCGGTTTGTCGCCGTAATAACATCAAAAAAAAGTCGAGGTCGTCTGCATTCTCGGCGGATTTGATTCTCCTCGCTATTAATGTAAGTTCTTTCGATGCATAATTATGCAAATAAAGACTTAAAAATAATGAATACAGTAAACGTGAAATGCTTATCAAATACATGGGGTCCCCAATAAAGATCTCGTACAAAAATTGCATTGCCTTTTGCTTTTCAGTCTTTCGGTTTGTCTTTCGTGGATCAGACAATGATTCTCGGAATATTTCTGGATAATACACAATGTTTTTGTTTTATTAATCTCTTAAACACAAATTAATAAACATGCAATTCTTCTAGCACATACTGTATAAAATAATTTTTCGTTTACTGACCATGTTGATTGTTACGACATACTGCCACGTGCATATAAAGCAGCATAAAAACGAAAAAATTGATATAGTCTTCGCAGTTATTCCACTTTATATGCTTGTGACAATAGACTATAAGCAGTCAACACGAACAATATTTCCTATCCATTAATACTCGCAATGCACAAATACGCTAAATGGCAGCGTTGATGAGGTGACAAACACTTCGCAATGGAGTGAAAATTTTGACTAATTTCTCCCAACAAATATGAGAAAAGCTCGTATTGCCGTATCATCGTGATCGGTTTGTGCCTTTTAGTAGAAAAAATATAATATCATTGCAAAGATTAGTGCAGAATCGTTCATAGTTTTACAAATAAAAAACTAAGCGAGGCAAAAAAACAAAAAGTTCCATCGGATCTAACTCATATTCTCGAAAACTTTAGTATAATAAGGTAACCTTCTTTAACTTATCTGATT